TCAAGAATCAGCTAAACACGTAGCGAGCGCCGCCACTTCATCGAGAAGGTCTAGTGGGACTTACCTTCCTCCTGTACCGTATTGGAGTGAATAAGACCAGATCTTCAAAATACAAGTCACAGCTTGCTTGTGGAGATGCCTATGTGAACATAACGTCACCACCACATTACAACACCCACAAGCCTACGGGCCGGAGGATTTCCTTCACTTTTTCAAAAAGCTTTCTTTTATCGTCCATATGACACTGAGAAAAACCAGCTTGTTATCAACCATGCTGAGTCTATTACAAAACATAGAAGGCTGATAGCAAAGTCGAATGGCCCTCCTAAGGTGGCTTGAGTCGCGTTGAAAATGTCTGCGGTGATGTATTTCGTTTTGCTCCCCTCGCAGTAACCTGAAGACAGCGTCACAGAGCACACCTCGAGCTCATATACATGAATTAACCATGATTTATATCATTCAATGAATATTCATAAAAACGGCTCGTCGTCAAACAACGATCACAGTGAATAACACTAGCACTTTTTCCCCTACTACTGGAGCATTCCTTGCTATCTATCTCTTCAGCGAGACGAGCAAAGCTGTCGAATATGTCCATACTGATACCTTCCACATAGGGTAAGTTACTTGTCATGTACCTTACCGTACTGCCAAGCCCACCACCTATGTCCAACACCTACAATACCAAATGAGGATGCTCATACAATCATCGTTTATGCGACGATCGGTCTGAGTCTAGTTACGCTGACATTGTTCACGTCGTGAACTTCACGACCAGCCTTCCAAAGGCTGGGGTACTCTCCCATCCTCATTACCTTAACAGGTCTATCCCTAGAAGGGTTCATATGCAAAGCCACTATAGCATTTGCTACAGCGGTGTGCCCCAGGTAGTGCTGACTCGTGAGCCCTTCTTCATCAGCACATAGAATCTGAAAAAGCAACTTATCGCATCGAAAGACTATCAAACATAGCAATAGGTTCTAAAAATAACCAAGGTGATCCAGTGAGATTAAATCAGCAGCTTAGATCGACTGTAAAAGGCTCACTACATTGTCAGAATTTTCTTTCTCTAG